GGGAAAAAGCCACAAACCCCCCAGCCATACATTAGGAATGGTAAGAACTAAATCACAAACAAAAACACAACAGCACTTGTACTGTATTAAACTAAACCATAAATGTTACATAAATGTTTCACATTTGCTATTGTCGCCCTCTCCTGAGTTGCCAGCTGATGTCTGTCCGTAAACTCTCTCTTTTTACATATTTTCCCCCAGTTTTATTAACTCTGACAGGCAAGTCCTCAGAACATTAAATGTGCAGTGTCCTTGAAACTTCTCCTATCAATGGAGGAGGTGCAGAGTTTGGGATGGAGGTTGGGTGCAGAAAGGAGCTTGGTGTAAGAGATTAGGGTACTGAAGGGAGTGTGGGGTTTGGGAGGGAGTTTTGGTGAAGGAGGTGGTTGTGATCTGGGGCACTGGTCTGGGGTGCAGGGGTTTGGGTTGTGACCTAGGGCAGGACAGGGTTGTGACCTGGGGCAGGGGTTTGGGTTGGGACCTAGGACAGGGGATTGGGTGCAGGAGTTTGAGTTGTGAACTGGGGCAGGAGATTGGGGTGCTGGTTCTGAGAGGGGATATGAGTCCAGGAGGGGGGCAGAAGGTTTGGGTATGTGGAATAGGGGGGCAGAGGATTGGAGAAGGGAAGGATTGGGGTGCCAGAGGCAGGCTGTGGCCAGGAGACTTACTTGGGTGACTCCCGGCCAGCAGCCCAGCAGGATTCTCAGGCAGCCTGCCTTCCCTGTCTCTGCACGTGCATTGGTGAATAAAGAGCATAAGGAGAGGGCGGAGGTGTTTCACCTGCTGCCTGTTCTTCAACCTTCAATTCCCATTGGCCAAAAATCAGCTCATGGGATTTTGCTGGGGTGGGAGCAGCACGTGAAGCGCCATTCCCCTTCCCCCGGCCTCACAGCTGAGAAAGAAATGGCTGCAGACGCTGCTTTTTTGAGCAGTGTTGGGGGAGCACACAAGGAAAGCAGAGAGGGCCAGATCCCGTGGCTTGGCGGATCTGGATCTGGCCCAAGGAAAGTATTTTGTCCAGGCCTGATCTAGCAGCATTAAAATATGAATGCTTTCAGGAAGTTAAAACTGGCATTGGCAGCTTCAGAGGCCAGAGGTATAGAGAAACACAACAGCTTTCTCTCTGGTGTTCCTAGCAGAAGAGTGGCTAAACAGGGATTCAGAATATTCCCAGATGGGGTTTCTTTTATGCCCAGAAGTCAGGCCAGTTTTTCTGTGGCAGAAGCGTGGGGGGATGTAGGAAGCTGTGTGTGTGCTGAATGTCTTTCCTTTTTCTTTCCAGTCCATGCCACTGTTCCTTGCTGTGCTGCCTCCGTCCCTTCCTATGTATTGTCTCTTTGTCTTAAGACAATGTCTTAACTAACTCCTCTGCTGTGCTTGGCCCAGGGCCATCGCTCCATAAGCACACAACAAAACCAGTCCTGTCCAGCCTGTGTGTGTCTTTGCACATGCTACATTAGTCAGCTGAGAA